AGGACTTACCATGTGTTGTCTCATTCCATTCACACCTAACCACAGGCACCATGCCGCAGCTCAGTTTTCTCACCCGTAAAATGGGGATATTTTATTTTCCCCACATTTTTATTGGTGCATTATATTTGTACACACTGTTGTGATCTGTTGTTACATATCCATACATACACACAATATACAACATAACAACTTAAGTTGGCTAATAACACTCCCCAGCACTTCCCTGCTCAAAATGGGGACAATCTAAAAAAAAGCACGGGAACAGTGTCTAATATAAAGTTACTATTTACATGACTGCATGACCAATGTAATTCTGCAACCTGTACACTCAGAAAAATGAGAAATTATACCCCATCTGATTCAAATGTATGTCAAGATCATTGTAATGTCATGTGTAACTAATTAAAACAAATTTTAAAAAATTAAAGTTACCATTCAACTAACAGTAGCCATAAGTCCATCATCCCTGGTTTACAGATGGGAAAGTTGAAGTTCAAGGAGGTTAAGGAATTTGCCCAAGGCTACAACTCATTAATAAGGGTCTAAAAAGGAAGTCAGGCTTCAGTGCCCAAGCTTGCCCCTGAGGATCTGCATTCAACCTCCAGCTGCTCTACAGCTCCCCTGTATGAGCCTCTCTGACTTTCCTGCTCCTCTGGGAAGGCTTCCTTGTGCCCCTTCCCCGTGACCTCTCTAGGCAGAGGCACATACCGCCACTCTGTGGCTCTCAGCCTACTCCACGGGCCTCTCCACCTCCACCTCACCAACTCACACCTGAGAATACACTATTCCCCACACCCGAGAGCAATAGTGTCCCTGTCCCCTTTGGCTCCTCCAGGCCTGGTTGGCATGGAGCAGACCTGTGTCCCTGTCACCTTTTGCTCCTCCAGGCCTGGTTGACATGGAGCAGACCTGTGTCCCTGTCACCTTTGGCTCCACCAGGCCTGGTTGGCATGCAGCAGACTTCCACGAATGTTTCGTTGGATTTGTTGGGAGCCAACTCCAGCGAGGAGTCAAGCCAAGAGTGGAGAACAATACCTGCTGGAAGGGACAGCCTGCCTGACAGTGTGTACTCCAGAGTGGACATGCTCATGCCCGCCTCTGGCCAGGGCCTCCTGACCATTTTGCCATAACTTCCAGTCCCTTGGCCCTGGCTCTTCCTTTGTCTCCTGCCTGTCCCCAAAGTTAGCCAGTGATGGGGGTTACCCCTAGGGCAGCCTGTACCATCCACAGCATGAGAACAGGCTTCGCACCTCCTTAATTCATTTATTCAACAAAGATTCACTGGGCACCACCAATAAGGCA